TATGACCCAAACATCTCGAATTTTTAAATGGAGAAGTGGATTGGGCCAAAGAATAAGTATGCCTGTTTTGATAAAGATCGGTCAATATTTAGCGCATGTGGGAGATGCACTTGAATATTTACATGTGCTTACGTTTTCATATATTATTTAGTAACCCATTACCACACTAAAGAGCGAAAATATAGCGCTGATCGCTTTGAAATATTCCATGAGGATCCAGGTATGATCAAGGACAAGGTCCGAAAACTTAATCTTTTTTTTGGTCGAATCGATCTATATGCCACGATTGAAAGCCGAACATCGCGACAAAACTCACGGTTAGGGGAATATGGTCAAGTAATTAGAAGAACTATAATGAATATTAGTAATATTCGGAAAATATGTCAGTGTAAGGAAGAGGTACTGTTGACCTCTAATCAGGCAAGAGGGTGCAACTATCACGAAATATTTCCCAGGTTCGGAATAAAAATCCGTAGAAAGTTAGAGTTCCGTGGTAGTTGTGTAGGGTGTCGTATGGCCGGCCACGACCGACTATTCTGCTCCGCTCATTGGTTTAAAGAATATATATTTTTAGGCCCAAACAAATATTTTTTTTAAAAAATCCACGTCCGTTTGTAGGCCCTAAATATTTTTCTTTAAAAGTTCACGCCTTATTGTAGGCCCTACAAAATTTTATTTAAAAAATATTCTGACAATTTTTTTTTTTTTTTTGAGTATCCACGCTTTTGTTATGTCCCCAAAAAGTGTTTTTAAAAAAATCCACACCTTTGTTACAGTCCTCTGTTAGGTCTTCAAAACAAATATTTTTTTAAAAATCCTCGCCATTATTAGGTCTACAAAAAATATTTGTAAAAAATCCATGCCACTGCCCAAAAATATTTTAAAATTTTTTTATTTTAATTTATTTTTTTACTAAATCGCATTTTGGTTTTAAAAATTAACACCTCACTCATACCCAGGTATTAACTTGTATTCTACCATTGTACTACTTTCATTTTCATATGCAAATAAAATTTTATTACAGGTCCTATAAGACGAGATCCACATCCCCTCTCCTCGTTTTTATTTTATTTACTTTTGTCCTCCATTTTATGTTGTTGTTGTTTTTTGGAAACCATCCGACAAATATTCGTATTTTAAATATTTAACAAATGTAAATGCAATTGTTGCCGAATGATGTTGAATGAAAGTGTTCTCAGCTAGCACGAGGTGGCAGCATTTCTGCATTGCATGCGACTTTTTGGCATAACTTTTAATTTGTATTGTTGTTGCTGCTGTTGTTGGATTATTTTATTTTCACCAAAAAATAAATAAAAAAGTATTGAATGAATGGAAAACGGGTTGTGTTTTTTTGTAACTCTGTTTTTTCCCAGTTGATTGTTTCGCCTGCAGTGGATCTGACCTTAAAGCAAATAATGGGTGTAACGACGAAGAATACAGCAAAAAATCAGCAGCAGCAACAATGGCGAACAATTGTTGTTTTCTGAGTAACGGAAGGAAAATCTGTGCCAGGAATGACAACAGCAACAACAACAACAACAACAAAAATCACAACAAATTTTTACATGTTTTCATTTCAACTCGCTCGTTTGTTCGTTCGTTCGCTCGCTTGACATAAATGACAAATAGAGCGGTATTTTTGTTTGCCATTGCCGCTGTCTGTTGTCTTTATCACTTTTTTACGTTCTGTGTGAAGTTACAAAAGTTGCAACAACCACGACAACAAAGCTGCAAGTGTTACCGAGAAGTGATTTATAAATATTAATATTGAAATAATTAAACGGGGTGAATACAGAAAAAATATATAAATATTTGTAATGACATAAATATGTTATTTATTTGACATCGAAGGAGAATAAAAACGGAAAACCGAGAAGTGGATGAGGAGGATAGAATCATGATGTTAATGGGGGGAAATTGTGAATTGTGTTTTTGTCATTTAAATCTGGTGGACAACAAAACAAAAAATGTTAAGTAGTGTCACGAAAACGTGACAGTTGTCATTTTGAAATCATATTTATGTCAGTTACAAAATTACACAGTAAATAAAGTAGTCACAATACGGACAACACTTAAATGTGGGGCAGTGGAAAGAAATTCTTTTTCAAGGCGTGGATTTATTAAAAAAAAATTTCAGAGTCTTAACAAAAAAGTAGATTTTTTATGGCTCCCAACATAGACGTAGATTTTTTAATGCTCCCAATATAGACGTGGATTCTTTATTGTTTATGGGTCTCAACATAGGGGTGGATTAAAAAAAAAACAACCAGTGAGCGGAGCAGTATAGTCGGACGGGGCCAACCATACGATACCCTACACAACTACCACGGAACTCAAACATTCTGCGGATTTTCATTCCGAACCTTGGGATTATTTCGTGATAGGTGCACCCTCTTGCTCGATTAGAGGTCAAAAGCACCTCTTTAGTACAGTCGTTCTAATTACTTGCCCATATTCTCTTCGCCGTGGGTTGTTTTGTGATGTTCGGCTTATAATTGTGGTCTACAGATTGTCTCGAAAAAAAAAAACACAACAAATTAAGGGAACCCCAACCATTCTCGATTTTAATTTTTCAAGATTTTCAATGGACTGGTAAATCAATACCAATGCTTGTTAAGGTTTGTAACTTTGCATATATATATATTTGAAGATTTAAACGGGAAGAAAAATAATTTACAAATTTTTTTTATTGTTTTTTGTAATTAAAGAAAAGTCCATATTTTTGATGGCGGGCATGACAACTCCCCACTGGAACATCGGTATCCCAAAATTCCAACGGTGTTAGAAAGAGCACATGTCTGTCTCTCGTATGAACTAGAAGCCCTTCAGGCGTCACTTGATGCTGACACAATAAATCGGCTATATCTTCAAGAGTTCTTGAGATTTTCTCTTGAAATTTTGTAGGGACATTCTTGAATTAGTGTAGATTCGAATTAAATCAAAAAAATTTTTGACCCCGAGAATGGGGAGTCCCCTTAACTTTTACGTCCACGTCATCCCAAAATTATTATCTAATAATCACTGGAAATTATCCGCGCTGTCCTGGAATCTCTTGGATCCCTGTGTGGTAATGGATTACTATATAATATCTGAATACATAAGCTCCTGTAAATATTTACGTGTAACTCCCACATACAACAATATATTTGGTATGAATTTAAAGGCCAACCACTTCTCTAGGATATACTAACAACTTCTCGGTTCTCTGTCCTGCAGGAGTAAATATATACGCTATAGAATACAAATTCTGTGCATGTTAAATTGTAAACAACGTACAGGTCGCATTTATGATCCGAATTGGATGAAATTTGGCATAGGTCACTTATTCGGCCCAAGGACAAACCCTATTGAAATTGGGAAAAATCGGTTCAGATTTAGATAAAGCTCCCATATATATATTTAACCGATTTAATGTAAAAGGTCCCTATATATCTTTCGATTTGCACGAAATTTGGTACAGCCTAATCATTTAGGTCTAGAGTTATGTCTACCAAGTTTCGTGAAAATCGGTCCAGATTTAGATATATCTCCCATATATAGTTTCGTCCGATTTCATGTAAATAGTGCACCAAAGTCCCTATATATCTTTCGATTTGCACGAAATTTGGCCGAGCGTACTGAATTGAGCCTAGAATGATGTGTCCTAAATTTGGTATAAATCGGTTCAGATTTAGATATAGCTCCCATAGATATTTTCGTTCGATTTAAGGTAACTGGGCACCAAAAACCCTTTTCAATTTTCCCGAAATTTGTCATAGCGTACTGAATTAACTCTAGAATATGTGTGCTGAGTTTTGTGAAATTCGGTTTAGATATAGATATAGCTGCCATATATATTTCGTCCGATTTAATATAAATGGTGCACCAAAGTCCATAAGTATCTTTCGATTTGCACGAAATTTGGCCGAGCGTACTGAATTGAGCCTAGAATGATGTGTCCTAAATTTGGTATAAATCGGTTCAGATTTAGATATAGCTCCCATAGATATATATTTTCGTCCGATTTTAAGTAAATAGTTCACCAAAGTCCCTTTATACCTTCGATGTGCAAAAATTTTGGCATAGCATACTGAATTGAGTCTAGAATGATGTGTGCTAAGTTTCGTGAAATTCGGTTCAGATTTAGATATAGCTCCCATCTATATGTTCGTCCGATCTAAGGTAAATGGTGCGCCAAAGTCCCTAATATCTTCCGATTTGCACGAAACTTTTCACAGCGTTCTCAATTAAGAGTAGAATTATGTGTGCTATGTTTCGTGAAGATCCGTTCAGATGTAGATATAGCTTTCATATATATTTTCGTCCGATTTTACATAAATGGTGCACCAAACTCGTAATGTTTGACCGATTAACACGAAATTTCGTACAACGTATCAAATTGAGACTTGAATGACGTTATTGAGTTTTGTTGAAACTGGTGCAGATGCAGTCATAGCTTCCATATGTATTTCGAATGGGTGTCTGATTGAGATTAAATTTTTAGCAGTGCGGCGTACCGAAGAGCGTGTATCAATTTTGCTATAAATCGTTTTCCATAAATTTGTCCCATGGTACGCAGACGACTCTAAATCTGCCCGAATTAAATTAAATGTATCTTAGGTTGCAGAAAGTCAAGAGACCAGTGAAAGTTTCGATTTATTAAAGAATAATTTGTGTTGGACCAATACAAGGCTTGGATTTATTAAAGAAGGCCTGGGAAAGGTCTGCATTTTTTAAAGGATAAACGTTTAGGCCTTGGAGCCACTCCAAGCTGCAAGTAAGGTCAGCATTTTTTGGAGGAAAAATGCTTAGGCCTTGGAGACACTCCAAGCCACAGGTTTATTAAAGAATGTTTTTTTCTCAAGTATAAAATTTTTCTTAAGAATATCTCGTGCTATTTTTTTGCCATAACCACCAAATATCGTGAGAATTTTACCACATTTACAAAAATCAAAGCAATTTTTCCTTTCTCTTTTTTCCTTAATAAAAAACGCTTATCCTCCAACTTCTATTCTACTTACCCACAACATCCAAATACCCAACTTGACTTTTCATCGGATCCGTATTTATTTGACACATATACCATCCTTTATCCGATTCCTTAACATCGCGTATACGAAGGATCCAGGCACGTTTTTCGGCGTGCGTTATGCTCATGCGATGGTTTTTCGTAATAACGTGATTCTGGATGGTGAGAATCGTTTGGGTATCGACACGTAGCCACGCAATCTGTAAGAGAAGAAAACGAAGAGTCATAGAAAAATAAATATTTTCGGTTTCACATTGTTGTCTTCGTGGGTTTTTTTTTTCTTTTTTGGCAAAAATAACATTATTTTGTTTCAAGTGCTCAAGTAAGGAGAGTAGAAAGGATGGAGGGGAGTGAATTGGGAGGGGTGAGAGGTTGGTAAACATAAAATATATGTGTTTGCTAAGAAATAAAAAGGATTGCTTGTTGTCATCATAGATGTTGTTGTTGTTGGTACTGTTGTTGTTCTACATCTTACAAAGATTAATGTTTGTTTCGGTTTCAATGGCGGTTGTTTTCGTCTCTTGTAAAAAAGCGTACCTTAACCGAATGTCCTGTAGGGGGGAGAAAGATTGCTAGGGGGTTGAAAAAACATAAATAACAATTTGTAAACAAACTAAATGAACAAATGTGTGATAAAACATAAAAATAAAAAAAACGCTGATTTAGCTCATCAACACCACCCTTGGAGGGGAGCAAGGAGCGCCATAAACAACGACTATAAATTACTCTCCATTAAGAATCACGTTCTTGTAAGAAAATGTTTATTACGTCTAATAGCGCTTTTTGTACATTTCATAAATTGTCCACTTAGACTTTTCTGGTATGCAGTTAAAATATTTATGTCAAGGTCGTGGCAATAAAAGAAAATTAGGGAAAATGCAATTTTAAGTTGAGAACAAGAAACTAAGACGTGGATTTTTTTAGGAAATACCTTTAAAGCATGGCCACAAGGCGTGGATTTTTTAAAGAAATATTTTAAGGCATACCCACAAGGCGTGGATTTTTTTAAAGAAATATTTTAAGGCATACCCACAAGGCGTGGATTTTTTTAAAGAAATATTTTAAGGCATACCCACAAGGCGTGGATTTTTTAAAGAAATATTTTAAGGCATACCCACAAGGCGTGGATTTTTTAAAGAAATATTTTAAGGCATACCCACAAGGCGTGGATTTTTTAAAGAAATATTTTAAGGCATACCCACAAGGCGTGGATTTTTTAAAGAAATATTTTAAGGCATACCCACAAGGCGTGGATTTTTTAAAGAAATATTTTAAGGCATACCCACAAGGCGTGGATTTTTTAAAGAAATATTTTAAGGCATACCCACAAGGCGTGGATTTTTTAAAGAAATATTTTAAGGCATAACCACTAGGCGTGGATTTTTTAAAGAAATATTTTAAGGCATAACCACTAGGCGTGGATTTTTTAAAGAAATATTTTAAGGCATAACCACTAGGCGTGGATTTTTTAAAGAAATATTTTAAGGCATACCCACAAGGCGTGCATTTCTTAAAGAAATATTTTAAGGCATAAGCACAAGGCGAGGATTTTTTAAAGAAATATTTCAAGGCATAAGCACAAGGCGAGGATTTTTTAAAGAAATATTTTAAGGCATAACCACTAGGCGTGGATTTTTTAAAGAAATATTTTAAGGCATAAGCACAAGGCGTGGATTTTTTAAAGAAATATTTTAAGGCATAAGCACAAGGCGTGGATTTTTTAAAGAAATATTTTAAGGCATACCCACAAGGCGTGGATTTTTTAAAGAAATATTTTATAACGCCGCGAAATATTGGCCCTAGACCCACCGATCGTCATATCTCGACTAGCTGAGTCGATCTAGACATGTGTGTCCGTCCGTCTGTCCATTATAATTTGTAAACACGATACAGGCCACAGTGATGAACCAATCTTTACGAACCAATCTTCCCTATTGTTTTTAGTAAAGATCGAATTATATTTATACCCTTCACCACACTGAGGTACAGCGTATAATGTCTTTGCGCATATGTTTGTAACAGGCTAAAGGAATCGAGATAGACCCATGGTTCCTTTTGAGAATATGAATAGAATCACTTTCTGAGTCGATTTACGCATGTCCGACTGTCCGTCCGTCCATGTATTTTTGTGAACAAAGTACAGGTCGCATTTATGATCCGAATTGGATGAAATTTGGAACAGCTTATTTGCCTGGCCCAAGAACGAACCCTATTGAAATTGGGAAAAAAATCGGTTCAGATTTAACTATAGCTCCCTATAAATATTTTCGTCCGATTTTATCTAAATGGTGCACCAAAATCCCTATATATCATTCGACTTGCACGAAATTTGGCACATCGTAATGAATAAGGTCTAGAATGATGTGTGCAAAGTTTCGCAAAAATCGGTTCAGATTTAGATATAGCTCCCATATATATCTTCGTCCGATTTAAGGTAGATTGTGTACCAAAGTCCCTGGAAATCTTTTGACTTGCACGAAATTTTGGCACAGCGTAATGAATAAGGTGTAATGTAAGGTGATGTGTGCAAAGTTTCATGAAAATCGGTTCAGATTTATATATAGTTCGCATATATAGCTTCGCCCGATTTTAGGTAAATAGTCCACTAGAGTCCCTGGAAATCTTTTGATTTTTACGAAATTTGGCACAGCGTAATGAATTAAATCTATAATGATGTGTGTTAAGTTTCTTGAAAATCGGTTCAGATTTAGATAAAACTTCCATATATATTTTCGTCCGATTTAATGTAAATGGTGCACCAAAGTCCCTATATATCTTTCGATTTGCACGAAATTTGGCACAGCGTAATGAATTAGGTCTATAATGATGTGTGTTAAGTTTCCTGGAAATCGGATAAGATTTAGGTATAGCTCCCATATATATTTTCGTCCGATTTAATGTAGATCCCATATATATTTTCTTCCGATTTTAGGTAAATAGTGCTCCAAAGTTCCTTTATATCCTTCGATTTGCACGAAATTTGGCATGGCGTACTGAATTGAGTCTAGAATGATGAGTGGTAAGTTTCGTGAAAATCGGTTCAGATTTCGATGTAGCTCCCATATATATTTTCGACTGATTTTATGTAAATGGTGCACCAAAGACCCTATATATATTTCGATTTGCACGAAATTAGGCATAGCGTAATGAATTAGGTCTAGAATGATGTGTGTCAAGTTTCCTGAAAATCGGTCCAGATTTAGATATAGCTCCCATATTTAGCTTTGTCCGATTTAAGGTAAATGGTGCACCAAAGTCCCTATATATCTTTCGAGTTGCACGAAATTTGGCAAAGCGCACTGAATTAGGTTTAGAATGATGTGTGTTAAGTTTCCTGAAAATCGGTCCAGATTTAGATATAGCTCCCATATATAGTTTCGTCCGATTTAAGGTAAATGGTGCACCAAAGTCCCCGTCCGACTTTACTACTTTTCTTTAAATTGGAATTTTTTTCCTACCATTAAGGCGTAGATTTTTTAAATAGGAGTTTTTCCCTACCATTTAGGCGTGGATTTTTTAAATGGGGATTTTTTGCCTATCAGTTAGGCGTGGAGTTTTTAAATGGGAATTTTTAGCATTCCATTAAAGTGGATTTTTTAAATGGGAATTAGCATTGAAGGGTGGATTTCATAAATGGGAATTTTTCCGACATACTTTCCTTACTGGTTTAAATAAGAATTTTTTTCCTACCATTAAGACGTGGATTTTTTAAATAGGAGTTTTTTGCCTAGCATTTAGTCGTGGATTTTTTAAATGGGAATTTTTGGCATACCATTAAGGCGTGGATTTTTTAAATGGGAATTTTTGGCACACCATTAAGGCGTGGATTTTTTAAATGGGAATTTTAATGTATACCTATTCAGTTTTTTTATTCAAAAAAAAAAAGAAACAGGGCTTCTCCCTTGATACCAAACTTGTCACGTTTTACCACCCTTCCTTTCCTCATATTTCAAATTCAATTAAGAAACTACCTTTTTCGGGAGGAATAAAAAAACAGAAAAAGGTTATCAATAACCCAGACATACTCATAAATATAAAAATAAACTATATTGTCTGCATTTGCTAGGCAACAATATAACAATTCCAGAAAAAATAAACTTGAGAAAAGAAAATTTAGCCAATTTTTTTCCTTGTCCATAATGTCCTGGCAATTCATTAAAATTATCATTCCCAATGAATGTGTAGTAGCCACCACACAGATGATGGTGATATCCTTTTGTTCGGAGTTCTACAAAAAGGAAATTTTAACAATTTGTTCCCACACAAAAAAACAAAACAAATGTTGACAAAAGGACCTCTTGACCAAATATGTTTCTATGGGTGTCAAAGTCCTGTCGATTATGGCACACACAATTTACGTTTCCTTCCACACCCTTCTGCACATTTCTTTGGGAGTAAATTGTTTGGAAAGGTCGTCATCATCATTATGACCATCAATTGAGAAACAAAAACAAATTCAAACTTCAATCGAAATAAAGAAAGAAACAAAATATGAGAGGGTATCCTTTCTATTCAAACCATTCAATGATGGTTGAAGACATCCTTTAAGGATCTTGGAATTCTGTTTTTTTTGCAAACTTGTTTGTTATGTGCCTGCCTGTTTGTTTTTTTCCTTGTAATCGTTATCTGTTATTTTTACTGTTTTTTCTTGGATATTTCGTGATGTTGTTGTTGTTGCTGGCCATGTCCATTCCTTGTTAAGACATTTGGTGTCGTTGTTGTTGCCTCTCTTGTTTGGGTCAAAAGTTAGGCTAAAGATATTAAACTCTACCCATAACCTACATTATCCGCTTAACAAGTCAAGAAGAATGAAGGACTGGTGGTCGGCAGCAGAAGGAAGAAAAATCGAGGGGTATAAACTTGGCCCTTAAACGAACCGAACCACTGCCCACAACCCAGAAAGTTAGTTGAAGTGTAAATTTACAGGTGCGTGTTTAAATGACATTAAATGTGGACGATCAGGTGGGTGGTCGGAAGTATAATATAAAAAAATATAAAATAAAATTTTTCTTCAGGTGGGCGGCAGGAAAATTGACCTTAGTCCGGCTTTGGGTAAATAAAGTTTCAGAGGATACTGGTCAACAAGGAAAAAAAAACCAACCGGACAAAAAATGTTTAACAAAAGTTTAGAGAAATATTTTTATTTGTTGTTGTTGGGATTTTTTCCTCTCTTCTCTAAATAAATTTTATTTTGTTGAAT